CAAGAAAGCTCTTCTTGGTTGACAGACTTAGGCATCAATGAATAATAATAGACAACATTTATCAAGGTCGTCTTCTCCTTGTGCTGAATATTGTAGATACTTATGTCATTATGTGTGTTCATTTCCATTCAACCCTATGAATGGATGCTTTTAGTTTTTATCTCTGTTTTATATATAAGTAAAGTTCAGCAGGACGGTGGCCATGGAAGTCGGAATCCGCTAAGGAGCGTGTAACAACTCACCTGCCAAAGGAAAAAAAAATTAAAAAATAAAGGAAAGTGATGTGCAGACATCATATGAATTAGGTGTTTCAATGCACACTCTAGTTTACCTTTCTTCTTCACCACCTGTGTTGCTAATCCTCTAAGTGGCAGGAAGGGGGCAAGTCAATTTCAGCACTGAGTGCTAGACTAAATCTGTTTACAGGAGTTGCCCCCAGAAAGGGAGTCAGGATCTCCAAACGCTAACACATTTTAAGGCTTAGGCTCACATAACTTTCAGCGCACATTCCACACGAACTTGCCCGGCTCAGTGAATCTGCTGGAAAGGACAAGCCTTTCTTTCAGACTGGCCAATGAGATAGCTGGCTCTTGTGAGCGACAGGTCTTGTGGCCAATGGGCTCAGCCCCTGAGGCCTCGAAGACCGGAAGTTGGCCCTGGAGCATGTGGCCCCTGGGGCGTGGGTTGAGTGCTGTCTTCTCCTGAGGCGGCGCGGAGCCCGGCGAGTGGGGCAAGGACTCGTGCCCAGGTGAGAGGACGGGTCCAGGTGCAGCAACCCAGGCAGGCCAGGGTCTCTCCGGGGCAGGCTGGGTGGGCTTTTGCTCAAGCACGTGGTGTCAGCCGCCCTCCCAGGTGCCCTCCTGCTTCCAGGTGACGCTGGGGCCTTTGGAGGCCGGGCGGGGGCGGGAAGTCGTTATTCGAGGCAGGGTGCTGAGGCCTGGAGAAGGTGCGCAGGCGGGGGCGGCAGGGGAGGCCCGCGGGAGGTCTGAGTGGGCCTCTTATTTGACCTGAAACGGGAGGTAGAACCCCCGGCAGGGCTGTGGCTTTGGGGAAGGGTGCTTTTCTCGGGGTGTAAAGGGGGTGGGACTCGCTTTCGGGGGCCTCTGGTTAGGCCCTGGTCGGGAGGCCCCAGCGCCGAGCACAGACTCAGCGATTCAGCGGAGGCAGGCCCAGCCCGTCCTGGGTTCCCAGCCCGTCCTAGGTTCCCTCCTCGTTGAACCTTTCGGTCAGCCAAGTGTTTGCTACCTGATCCCAGGAGGAAATCCACATTGGGAGAGGGCCTTGTAGGGGAGCTGCCTGAATCTATAGAAGTGATACTGGGGTTGAGGGAAAGGTGGACAAAGACGAAGATTCCAGAAGTCTCATAAGGGACGCCGTGCAGCACTTCTGAGTATGTAGCAACTAATATGCTGATTGCTTGGGGACCTGTGAGCGGAGTTGTGGTTCACCGAAAAGGGGCGTTGACAATTAAAGGGGAGAGCTGATGTAGCCTTCAGGAAAGGTAACCATATCATGCATTTAGAGTGTGAAAAAAGGTAGTTTAGTTCAAGACGTTTTGCAAGTTCTTGAACTGTCTGCACTTCCGCTGTGTGCTTACGAACAGTGTGTTAATCTTTTCTTTAAATGTATGATTTCTCTGTAGCTAATACTTAAGACAGCTTTTTGAAAGTTAGGAAGGATTACTCCCACCTGTAATCCCAGCATTTGGGGAGGCTGAGGTGGGAAGATCACTTGAGGTCAGCAGTTTGAGACCAGCCTGGGCAACATGGCAAGATCCCGTCTCTACAAAATTTTTTTTTTTTAATTAGCTGGGCATGGTGGCAGGTGCCTGTAGTCCTAGCTACTTGGGAGGCTGAGACAGGAGGACTGCTTGAGCACAAGAGATCGAGACTGCAGTGAGCTAAGATCCCACCACTTCACCGTAGTCCGGATGACACAGCAAGACCCTGTCTTTTTTTTAAAAAAAATATTTCCCATTAAGAAATATTTTCCAGGAATCGGGGGCAAGCCAGGACCATGAGAGGAGCTCCGTAAAGAGGGAGTCCTGAAATCTGTAGGCTATACAGTGATTTTTTTTTTTTTTTTTTTAAGACAGTCTTATTCTGTCATCCAGGCTGGAGTGCCACAATCTTGGGTCACTGCAGTCTCTGCCTCCCAGGTTCAAGCAAATCGTGCGACTCAGGCTCCTGAGTAGGGGGGATTACAGGTGTGTGCCACGATGCCCAACTAATTTTTGTGTTTTTAGTAAAGACAGGGTTTCATCATGTAGGCCCAATTGGTCTTGAACTCCTGACCTCAAGTGATCCACCCACCTTTGTTTCTCAAAGTCCTGGGATTATAGGCATGGGCCACCATGCCTGACCTACAGGTTATAAAGTGATTTTGAAGAGACCTGATGGGCGTTAGATTTGGTAGGGAAGCCAGGAAGAGCCCCACCCCTGGTAACCTGGGAAAGAGAAGGGTGTTAAATGCAACCTCTGAGACTCACCAAGTATTGTAGGCTCAAATCAGAAAGCTTCTGTACTCTGGAGACTTCTGATAAAGTTTAAAAGAAAAGGGTTTTTTAAATTTTTTGTTCTATTTTTTAACTTTTTGTAGAGACAGGATCTCTCACTGTGTTCCTAAGGCTGGCCTTAAACTCCTGGCCTCAAGTGGTCCTCCCACCTAGACCTACCAGAATGCTGGAATTGCAGGCATGAACCACTGTGCTTAGCCTGAAAGAAGAATTTTTTAAAAAAAGAATTGCATAGAGATTTAGAGAAACAACTAAACAAATCAAGGAGAAGAGTTGAGTGCGATCATAGGCTGGAAAAAAGTTAGGACGCGCATGTAGGAAAGGGATGTTAAAAACAAAGCAAAAACCCGTAAATATTTATTGACCATAATTTTATGATACGACTGTGTTAACTGTGAAATTGTTTATAGGCCGTGCGCAGTGCCTCACGCCTGTAATCCCAGCACTTTGGGAGGCCAAGGCGGGTGCATCACTTGAGGTCGGGAGTTCGAGACCAGCCTGCCCAACATGGAGAAACCCTGACTTTGCTAAAAATACAAAATTAGCCAGGGATGGTGGCACATGTCTGTAATCCCAGCTACTTGCCTATGCTGAGGCAGGAGAATCCCTTGAACCTGGAAGGTAGAGGTTGCAGTGAGCCAAGATTGCGCCATTGCACTCCAGCCTGGGCAACAAGAGCGAAACTCCGTCTCAAAAGAAAAGAAATTTTTTTATAAATCAAAGTCATCCTCGTACACAAAAACTACTTTAGCCAGGCCGGGCGCAGTGGCTCACGCCTGTAATCCCAACACTTTGGGAGGCCGAGGAGGGTGGATCACGAGGTCAAGAGATCGAGACCATCCTGGTCAACGTGGTGAAATGCTGTCTCTACTAAAAATACAAAAAATTAGCTGGGCATGGTGGTGCGTGCCGGTAATCCCAGCTACTCAGGAGGCTGAGGCAGGAGAATTGCCTGAAGCCAGGAGGCAGAGGTTGCGGTGAGCCAAGATCACACCATTGCACTCCAGCCTGGGTAATAAGAGTGAAACTCCGTCTCAAAAAAAAAACTGCTTTAGCCAGGTACGGTGGCTCATGCCTGTCATCACAGCACTTTGGAAGGCTGAAGCAGCAGATCACTTGAGCCCAGGTGTTTGAGACCAGCCTGGCCAACATGGAAAGACCCCATCTCCACAGAAATTATAAAAATTAGAGGGGTGTTGTGGTGCATGCCTGTTATCCCAGCTACTCAGGAGACTGAGATGTGAGGGTCACTTGAGCCCAGAAGGTTGAGGGTGCAGTGAGCCGTGATCATGCCACTGCACTCCAGTCTGGGCGATAGTGCGAGACCCTCCCAAAAAACTGCTTCCTTGGTTGGGCACGGTGGCTCACGCCTGTAATCCCAGCACCTTTGGGAGGCTGAGGTGAGCGAATCACCTGAGGTCGGGAGTTTGAGACCAGCCTGACCAACATGGAGAAACTATTAAAAATACAAAAAATTTGCTGGGCGTGGTGGCACATGCCTGTAATCCCAGCTACTCGAGAGGCTGAGGCAGGAGAATCGCTTCAACCCAGGAGGCGGAGGTTGCCGTGAGCCAAGATTGCACCACTGTACTCCAGCCTGGGCAACTAGAGTGAAACTCTGTCTCAAAAACAAAAAATTGCTTCCTTTTATAACATGTAGTTGATTTGCCGGGCGCGGTGGCTCAAGCCTGTAATCCCAGCACTTTGGGAGGCCGAGGCGGGTGGATCACAAGGTCAAGAGATCGAGACCATCCTGGTCAACATGGTGAAACCCCGTCTCTACTTAAAAAAATACAAAAAATTAGCTGGGCATGGTGGCGTGTGCCTGTAATCCCAGCTACTCAGGAGGCTGAGGCAGGAGAATTGCCTGAACCCAGGAGGCGGAGGTTGCGGTGAGCCGAGATGGTGCCATTGCACTCCAGCCTGGGTAACATGAGTGAAACTCCGTCTCAAAAAAAAAAAAAAAAAAACATGTAGTTGATTTACAGGACTGAGTTTTATGAGAGGCCATTTGGGTAGAAAATGTAAGTGCAAGGAGGACGACGGCCTCTAAGGCAGGGGTTCCCAACCCCCAGGCCACAGACTGGTTGGGGGCCTGTTAGGAATTGGGCTGCACAGCAGGAGGTGAGTGGTGGGTGAATGAGCAAAGCTTCATCTGTATTGACAGTCGCTCGCCATGGCTCATAGTATCACCTGAGCTCCGCCTCCTGTCCGATCACTGGTGGCATTAGATTCCCATAGTGCAAACCCTCTTGTGAACTTTGCATTCATGGGATCTAGGTTGCATGTTCCTTATGAGAATCTAATGCCTGATGATCTGTCACTGTCTCCCATCACCCACAGATGGGACCATTTAGTTGCAGAAAAACAAGATCAGGGCTCCCACTGATTCTACATTATGGTGAGTTGTATAATTATTATATTTCATTATCTATTACAATGTAATAGAAATAAAGTGCACAATAAATGTAGTGTGTTTGAGTCACTCTGAAACCATCCCCCCACCCCTGGAAAAATTGTCTTCCAGGAAACCAGTCTCTGGTGCCAAAAAGTTTCGGGACCGCTGCTCTAAGGGATTGTTAATGGAGGGTGTTTCAAATATCACATATCAAATAGAAGCCTTTGAAGTGAATATGTTGCAGAAGGCTGGGTGGGTTACTGGACTGACTCAAAATATTTTTTTAATGCTTTGTGAATCTGTCTTAAAGGAAAAGGAAAACAGTTGGGAACTTTAATCTTTTGAAAATGCTGGCAGGTAATTAACCAGAACAGGATCGAAACACGTGTCCTCTATAGCCTTTGAATGGATCCTTTCCGACCATCGTTCAGGGGCCAGCCTCCTGTCCACCCATCCCAGTACCAGCCTGTACGGATGCCAGGCTGTTTGCCACAAGCTTCTAAACCTTTGGACCCAGCTCTGGGCAGGGGAGCACCTGCAGGCAGAGGCCATGTGTTTGGAAAGCCAGAGGAACCAAGCACACAGAGGGGGCCAGCACAGAGGGTAAGACTATGTTTGGATGCATAGGCGCAGCATACAGCTTATCTGTGTGCTGTCAGAGGAGGGTAATGGATTTCAAAGTGCCTGCAGGGCTAGGCACGGTGGCTCACTCCTGTAATACCAACATTTGGGAGGCTGAGGTGGGTGGATCATCTGAGGTAAGGAATTTGAGACCAGCCTGGCTAACGTGGTGAAACTCCATCTCTACTAAAAATACAAAAATTAGCCGGGTGTGGTGGTGTGCATCTGTAACACCAGCTACTCAGGAAGCTGAAGCAGGAGAATTGCTTGAACCCTGGAGGTGGAGGTTACAGTGAGCTGAGACCTCACTACTGCACTCCAGCCTGGGTGACAGAGCAAGGCTCCATCTCAAAACAACAACAAAGTGCTTGCAAAACTGGGAAGCCCTTAACAGGAACAAGTTTGTCTTTTTTTTTCTTTAACAAGTAGATACATCTGGACATATATTTCAAATCTAGAGTTTCTAGAGGTATGAAAACGTACCTCATAATGAATATTAGATGGACTTGGTAAGTACCATAGGTTCTCTAGCTTTCAATCATCCCTCCATACCTCTGTCTGTAATTGTTAGGGTTAAAGGTATAATCTCTTGTTCTTTTCTGAGTATGTAGATTTTGCCCCTGGTTTTGGCTCTATATTAGCAGCAATTCCTGCCTCTGAAGTCATAATACTTAACATTTGCTCACTTTGGAAGGCTCATTGCCCAAATCTTAAAGGAAAAGGATCTTCAGTTATTGCTGCTGCTGTGTGAACACTTACATGTTTGCATTCTTAATCTTTTTTTTTTTTTTTTTTGATGGGGTTTTGCTTTTTTTTCCCTGGTTTGGTTGCATTTGGGGGGTTTTTGGTTTCCGCCACCTCCGCCTCCCGGGTTCAGGCTATTCTCCTGCCCCAGCCTCCTGAGTCGCTGGGATTACTGGCACGCGCCACCATGCCCAGCTAATTTTTCGTATTTTTAGTAGAGACGGGGTTTCTCCATGTTGACCAGGGTGGTCTCGATCTCTTGACCTCGTGATCCACCCGCCTCGGCCTCCCAAAGTGCTGGGATTACAGGCTTGAGCCACCGCGCCCGGCTGCATTCTTAATCTCTTAATTATCAAGTAATTTTAAGAATATTTGTTTATAATATGTCAAAGAGTTAGCAAATATAGGAAGAATCTAATAATGAAGTTATTTTAAGTAGAGTTGACATTGTCAAATGTATTATTTTTGTAAGGAAAAAAGTTTATGACAGTAAATCTTACATGTTGACTCAAATAAATTGCTTAAGTCTATAGGTAGCTTTTATCCATGTCAGATCCAACTGGTGTAACAATAGTGCAGGTGGAAGACTGCCACAGGAAAACAGTAGCGGGTTACCCAAACCTCGAGATCATAAATGATCTAGCTTTTTTGAAAATTCATTAACCAGTACACTTGTTCTCTCTTGCCTTGAATATACAGGAAATATAAAAATGGAAAAGTTAATTCTGCTCTGTTGCATTTCGTTGTACTGTACATCAAATCATGGGTTTTAACGGTAACCCTTTGTGCTTAAAGACCTAATATGACATGGTTACAAGTATTTTTTAAAGTTAATATTATTCCCTTTATTCTTACAACATTTATGGAATTTGAAGGTGGTTTTTATTATGTACCAAGAATAAGAAAGCCCTTGTTTCTGGGGTTTTAAACTACCTCTTGGAACATTATTCTTTGACTTTCCACAGGAGTCTGTGGGTTTGGTCTCCATGTTCCGAGGCCTGGGCATTGAAACAGTTTCCAAAACCCCTCAGAAACGGGAATTGCCTTCAACAGGTATGTGGAAAACTAACTTGAGAAATTCAGTGGTATGTATGATTGCTTCCTTCTTAAATCCAAATGGTTTATCTTCAGAAACATAACTGTGTTTAAAAAAAAAAAAATCTGTATTTTAAAACATGTTTAACTCATAGTCATTGCTGGGGTTCGGTTTTTTCTTTCAGGTAGAGGCATTTTAGGTCGAGGCTTGTCTGCTAATCTGGTACGAAAAGACAAGGAGGAACTCTGTCCCACTTTTTGGGATCCAAAAGTGTTGGCAGCTGGGGACAGCAATATGGCAGAGGCCTCTGTTGGTTGGAATAGGTGGGTAAAGTTACCTTCTCAGGTAACTATCAAATTCCGATGGAATATCTCTGTAAGTTCAGAGAGCAACTCCTAAGAAGGGTTGTGTCATCTCATAAACAATCGATGTCTGGTTTTATATTAAAGAATGCACATTTCCCAAGAGTAGTCAGCGGTTGTTGACATAAGTAGGCTTTGGAAAAGGGTAAGAAGTAGTTCTCCACTGGGCTGTTAAGAAATTCATTTGTGTTCTTAACAAATTACTGCAAATTACCCTGATTGTGGTGATTCTTTTTTTTTTTTTTTGAGACGGAATCTTGCTCTGTCACCAGGCTGGAGTGCAGTAGTGTGATCTCGGCTCACTGCAACCTCTGCCTCCCAGGGTCAAGTGATTCTTCTGCCTCAGCCTCCCAAATAACCGGTGTGCACCACCATGCCTGGCTAATTTTTGTATTTTTAGTAGAGACGGTGTTTAACCATATTAGCCAGGCTGGTTTCGAAATCCTAACCTCAGACAATCCATCTGCCTAGGCCCTCCAGAGTGCTGGAATTACAGGTGTGAGCCACTACCCCCATAATGATTCTTTAAATAACATTAAGTCAAACTTTCTTCTCTATTCTGCTATGGAAGATGGTTCTGACAGTCGATATTAATGAGTCATAATGGCATATGTTGTGTTTTGTTGTTGTTATTGTTGTTTGTTTGTTTTGAAATTGGGTCTCTGTCACCCAGGCTTTAGTGCAGAGGTATGATCTCAGCTCACTGCAGCCTCAACCTCCCAGCCTCAAGTGATCCTCCCACCTCAGCCACTTGAGTAGCTGGGACTACAGTCATTAGCCACCATGCCTGGCTGATTTTTCTATTTTTTGTAGTTCGGGGTATCAGTGTGTTGCCTAGGCTGGTCTTGAACTCCTGTCTCAAGCAGTCTGCCCACCTCAGCTTCCCAAAGTGCTAGGATTACAGGCATGAGCCACTGCACCTGGCCTTGGCATATGTATTTTGAGAGAATCCGAAGGCTATGCTTGGGTCACTTTTTGCTGACTCCTCCAGGAAGTGATTGTAGAGTTAGGGGGAAAATCTGGGTGGGACATAACCATTATAGAAAAGCCCTGATTTGCCTCTCCACATTTCAGGATGCTTGGGAGAGGGAGTTCAGATGCTTCTTTGTTACCACTAGGAAGAGCAGCAGGTGGTATTGGCAGAGGAATGGACAAACCCCCCTGTGCCTTCAGCGCACCTTCCCGGGATTCACCGCAGCTGTCATCACCACCAGCTCTGCCCCAGTCCCCTCTGTACTCTCCAGATCACCCTCTGGTCCTGACTGTGGAACACAAGGAAAAGTAAGTCAGGAGCACTGCCTTCTCTGCTTAGTAATGATCGTAAAAACTCTGCATTTGGGCTGGTGTGTAGTATTGTAAAATCTATTTTTGTTGGGTCTAAAGTCCTCCCTGGGTGATAAATACTGCAGGGTGTTTTGGTTTTTGCCAGTGGGAGATTGACAAAGAGGTAGGACAGTTTTTTTTTTTTTTTTTTTTTTTTTTTTTTTTTGAGACAGATTCTCACTCTGTCACCCAGGTTGGAGTGCAGTGGCACAATCTCAGCTCACTGCAACCTCCATCTCCCAGGTTCAAGCAATTCTCATACCTTAGCCCTCCCAGGTAGCTAGGGTTACAGGTGTGGCCTACACCCAGCTAATTTTTTTGGTATTAGTAGAGATGGGGTTTCAACATGTTGGCCAGGCTGGTCTTGAACTCCTGACCTCAGGTGATCCCCCTGCCTCAGCCTCCCAACGTGCTGGGATTACAGGTGTGAGCCACCACACCCAGCCAAGATGGGACAATTTTTGAAGTTAAATGTGGTTGACAGTGGACATAACAGCATGCACCAAAGAGAGGGCTCACCGCCTTTCATTTCCGTCCCAATTCAGATGGTTCTTTGTCATGTTGAAGATAAGGAAATCATTTAGGAAGAAGATTGTGATACCTCATCTTTCTCTAAAGAACTCATTCTTGTGTTCTTAGTTAAGTAGTCTAGTTTATTTGGGTAATGTTAATAGGAAAGATAGGGTGACCTTGCTTATCTAATTAGGACTTGCCAATGATTTGTCTTCTAGCCTTCAGAGCTTGCTTTTTAAGTGTTGGCTCTTGGTTTGTGTATCTGTACAAAGTGAAAAAATGTTACTTCTCCCAATCTTTTTGTTGCGTGTTGTGTGGGTTGATTAGTTATTTTGTTTTTTGTTTGTGATACATGTAGTTGTTTTCTGTTTTTATTTTCTAGAGAGCTTATTGTGAAGCAAGGATCAAAAGGAACACCTCAGTCTTTGGGACTGAACCTCATCAAAATACAATGTCATAATGAAGCAGTTTATCAATATCATGTGACTTTCAGGTATTCACGGTGTTTCTTTGGTTATTCACTTCTTAGAGGGCAGTAAAAAGAAAAAGTTCCCCTGGAATAACTAAATATTGTTCTGTACAGTTCCTGGTGGACCTCCCAATGTGATGATGCATTTACTCAGACCGTTACAGAAAGTTTAAGGTTAATGTTAAACTTTGTGTATGTATTTAGCTATATTGTCAATTCTGAATTTAGCTTTATAGGGTGTAGTAGATTTATACATGAGGCTAGAAGTTGATTTTTTTTTTTTTTTTCTTGAGAGAGAATCTTGCTCTGTTGCCAGGCTGGAATGCAGTTGTGTGCTATCTGCTCACTGCAACCTCTGATTCCCTGGTTCAAGTGGTTCTCATGCCTTAGCCTCCTGAGTAGCTGGGATTACAAGCATGTATCACCACACCCAGCTAATTTTTGTATCTTTAGTAGTGACGGGGCTTCACCATGTTGGCCAGGATGACCTCGATCTCCTTACCTCATGATCCACCTGCCTCAGCCTCCCAAAGTGCTGGGATTATAGGCGTGAGCCACCATTCCCGGCCCTGAGGGTGGAAGTTGATTTAATGTGAAATTAATGAAGCTTAAGTTCAGCATTTTTTAAAACTTGCATTAGGTGTCTTCCATGATCTTTGAACTTATTTTTATGTGTAATTTTGTATTCTTAAAGAACCTTCCCCCCAGCAACCAGTGGTATAAAATTCATCCCCCATGAAACCTGGATCCTTCCCTGCATTAGCCATTATACCAACATCTGACATCTCTCCAGTGACAGTCTGGGATTAAATTTAGGGGTGAGAAAATTAAGGAAGATAACTTCAGTTTTATATCAATAATTTTTGGATTGATTACTGTTAAAAATAGTTTATATTAGTTTGTCTTCTCTTTTAATACCTTTTAATATCTTAGAGGAGTCATTAGCTGGAAGTTCATAGCTGGCATTGTGAAAATGAGTGTTTTGAAATATTTGAAGAAAATGAGAAGATATAGATATCTCAGTTTTTTAATTGAAAAATAATTGTGTATCTGTATGGGTACAATGTGGATATATGTATACATTGTAGAAAGATTAAATCAAGCGAATTGACATCTGTCACCTCACCTACTTACTGGGTTTTTTTTTTTGGTGGTGAAAACATTTAAAATCTCTTTTAGGAATTTTGGAATACACGCTGTTGTTAACATGGCTGTTGGTAGCCATCTTCCTACTATCTGCTCTATGAGTTCAACTTTTTTATATTCTGTATATGAGTGAGATCAGATGGTATTTGTCTTTCTGTGCCTATCTTATTTCACTTAGCTGAGTGTTCTCCAGATTCTTTCACATTGTCACAAATGAGAGGATGTCCTTCTTTTTAAAAGCTACATAGTATTCCTTCTGTATGTATACCACTGTTTATCCATTCATCCTTGATAGACACTGAGATCATTTCCATGTGCTGCCTGTTGTGACTAATGCTGCAGTGAACCTGGGAGTGCACATATCTCTTTGACACACAGATTTCAATTCATTTGGTTAAATGCCCAGAAGTGGGATTGTTGGATCACATGTAGTACTATTTTTAGTTTTTTTAAGAAACTTTCATGCTGTTTCTTTTTTTTTTTTTTTTTTTTTTTTGAGACGGAATCTTGCTCTGT